AAAATACTAATATCCAAGCTTACATGAACTACCACGGCTGGTGGTTGTGCGGTATGAACGGCTTGTGTATAGGTACGCGGGGCTTCGGGCGTGACGTAGGTCTGTTGTGGAGGGTAGCCAGGATATACCGGGTTGCCGGCTACTGACGTGATGTTTACTTCCGTGGCTGTATAAATATGAAAGGATATGTGTCATCTTTATTGCAACATTTAAATCGTACTTCTTTTTACCTAAAAGCCTAAACTATAAATTCAATTCAATTCAATTCAAGAGTTCTTTATTCGCTTTAAAAAGCACATATAAAAAAAATAACAAAAAATATACAATATATTCTACAAATAGGCACATTCACAATATATGTAAAGACAAAAAAACAACATCAACAACAGAATACATGTGTAACAGGGTAAGATCAGAGTGTGCATAAATACAAGATAATTTCCTCGCACTCCTCTCGGTTAAGGAAACCCTACATAAATAATCATCCCTCGAGTTGATCAATTCCTTTACTTGTTCAACTATGCGTATTGTCTCATCATTCACTTGGCATTGCACAGCCCACTGCTTTTGAATTTCATTGTTATCCATGAAGTACTTATCATTCAAGAATCTTATGTTACCTCCCAACACAGAATGAGCTCCATACCTGGCCATTCCAGCTATATGTGCCACTGTATAATTTTTGGAATTCATAGCTTTCACAACAAAAGATAAACATCTTTTTGCAAACCATAACTCTGGATCCATAACACCTGCTAAATAAGGCAAAAGATGACAGTGTGTCTGCCATGGAATTTTCCAAACCCTTCTTATTGCAACCAGCCATTGTCTACAAATATTATCAAAACATTTATCAAACAGAGGATATAACTGTGAGCCATAGAAACTCGAACAATATTTATGAAACAATATATTTCTTATGTGAGAGTTAGCATATTTGAAATTAAACAAAAACATATTACATTGTCGATAGAAATCTCCAACACACTTTGAGATATCAAAATCATTTATATTCTTAGAAATATCATTCCCTAGATGAGTTACTTTTGATGCAATATCAATATGTCTTCCATTTATCGTGATTCCTGGATCCATAACTGGTTTACCATTACAGCTGAAAACTATTAACTGACTCTTTTCAGGGTTAAACAGAATATCAAATTTAATGGCATAATCTAAACAAGTTTTAATCATTTCTTGAAGAGCAGTCACGCTAGGTGACAGCAGTGTCAAGTCATCTGCATAACCAAATGCTCCTGCAAAAACATTGCCCATAAAGCACCCTATCCCATTGTCACATAACTCTTCTATCAGCCCATCTAGATACAAACAGAACATGCAAGGAGAGATAACTCCACCCTGTTTAACACCATTTTTAACTGTAAAATAATCAGAATATGCATTGTTCCATTTCAACCTTAGCCTTTGATTCTTATACATATTAAGCAATAGCCTGCACATCATTGGGCAGACCCCTTTGCTCAGCATAATGTCAAACAATTTCACATAATTAACTCTATCAAATGCTTTACTAGCATCTAGCAATAATCCATACACATTACTCCCTTCATGATTAAAGTACGATACAGATTCTTTAACCATAGCAGTACATAGTGTAGTTGATAACCCTGCTTTGAATCCAAACTGTAGGTCATTAGTCTGCAAGTTCCCTTCTTCCCTTTTCATAAATACATGATCCAAAACTTTACCAATGATACTACCAAGTGTTATTGCACGAAAGTTTCCTGAATCGCCCAAATTTTTCCAACGACCTTTAGGTATTGGTACCATTGTACTTTTGAGCATACCATCTGGCGACACTCCATGCCATAACATGGCAGTAAAAAGCATTGCTAAATATCCACTGATTATTTTCTTTCCATGTATAATATGATCAGACATCACACCTGTTACACCATCACTTTTGGAATGATTTAACCTAAGTATTGCTCTAGATACTTCATCTCCTCCTATAACATGGTCATTCTGTAAACACTCATTACATTCACATTTCTCCTGTGTAGTGGAGTTTATGTGATTCAATAACGTTTCCATATTTCCTTCATCATATCCAATACTTTGATATATCCTTCCAAATTTCAATGCAAACAACTCTGCTATATTTTCTTCCCCCTGAACACCATCCACTCTGTTTGGGTAACCCTTAGGCTTTTTTGAATGTTTCTTCACCTCTTTCCAAAAAATTCTGCTATTCTTCTCTCTTAATGCATTTGCCACTTTATCACATCTAACTGACATAGATTTGTTCAGCATCAATTTCAAAGCTTTATGATACTCAGACCTAGTTTTCTTTCTTAATCCATACAGTAATCCCTGAGATGGACGATCATTTTCAACCCATATCTTATGCCAAAATAATGCACTCCTAAAATAGGCCTCAACATGATCATTCCACCCAGGCACCACTTTACACTGTTGAGAACTGTGACTTGAAATCATAGCATCTGCACTACTCAGTAAAGCAATGATAATATCATCATGAAATACATTAATGAGGTCATGATGTTTTCTTCATAACCTGTCCCTACATTGAATGGCTGAAACAGGGATTTTAATTTGCCTGAAGTTTTCTTCCAATTTTTGTTTATACAACTCCAAATCTTTTGATGATGCAAACTTCCAGTTCACTTTCCCTTCCCTTTCCTTTGATTCTGTTACCTGATCAATTTCTGTTATCTTTATATCTAGCACACTCTTGACTGCCAGATGATCTGAAAAATTGTGAACACTGTCAATTGTTTCATACCCATGTAGTGCCTCAACTAGATTTTCTGATAACATACAGTGATCAATTAGAGATCTTACACCACTACCCTTGCTACAGAACGTATAATCAAAATTACAACAAGGATCATTTTGACATAAGTAAAAAGAATTCTGGCCTAAAAATTGCAAAAGTGTCGTAGCTTGGTGAGAGTCTCGAGAGATATCTGTATTAAAATCACCACATACACATACATAATCATTGGGGGTTCCTTGTAATATTGAGTCAAGCTCATTTAACGTGATCTTGTATTCATCCAAATTTCCATTTAGACACCTATCATCACAAGGCATGTATACACAACATATTAAAAGCATTTTCCCGTCATCTAGAGTAACTCTTACAGCTGTTAACCTCGAAGATTCTAAAACAACAGGTTCCACATTGAGTTTTAAGTCACGTTTCCATAAGATTGCACATCCCCCATGAGGTCTCCCTTTTAGCAAAACATCTTCTTTCATTGCACTAACCCCATGTTTTCCTATTCCATTTTGCAATTTATCAAACCATCCAAACTGTGACTTACACAACCCATGTTCTTGTAACAGTAAAAAATCAGCTAAGCCAAAAAGCTCCTGTAAAAAAGGTAATTTTGCATCATTCGCACATTGTGTGTTATAAGAGATAATTGAAATGTTATGCAGCATGTTCATCGTTCTGATTGCTTCTCCTCCACCACCTTTGAACACACACACCATAAGGCCATATATCTCCGACCATTACTTTGTCTTTCTCAATAACGGGCACAGTGAGTTTATATGAACAGTATGCAGCATTCGGATTGGATACACACTGAATTTCAGCTGAAATAACACCTTGACCCGTTATATATTCCAACATCTGCTCATCAGTTGTGTCCTTCGACACTCTAGATATGAAGAAATCGCTTCACACAAAGTGTGTTATCATACCAATTACCAATAATCATATTGATCTAACATTCAGCAATGGAATATTGGATTTACAAAATGCGTTCCAATAATCAACGTTAACAAATACCATAAAGAATGCACATGTAAGTGGCGTGTTTATATAGGTACATGTAGATACCGATAGCACAATACAGTTCCGAAAAAAAATCAAAGGAATAAAAAGGGCTGGGGTAATCGCCGCAGACCGACCTGCATGAGGCCTAGAAACCAGAAAAACAAAAGAAAACACGTAATATTATAGACAAGAAGAAAGCTCTTAAGAGAGCAATGGCCTAGAAGACCAACAGTCGATTATACGGACAAAACAAAGATGAAATAAGTAATGCTAATAATCAGGATAGAAAAAAAGATGTTGACATCGTGGGGTTTTTTTTAGCGAAAAGAGGTATCGTGTTTTAGGGGCTTTAATTTCCCCATAGTATACCCCATTTGAACCCACCAATGCAAGGTGTCGACCGTCATGCAGATTTATGATAACAATTGCTATATTTCGTAATAATAATAATATATAATAATTTTTTTTTACCCAGGAAAGCCTCAATCATCAGCATCAATGTTGTTATTCCCAAGGGCCCTGCAATTAGTATTACCCCAGCAATTGCTACCCATTTACACCTGTGTGAAAATCGATTGGCAAATGTGGATTTACCCTCCTGCCCACCCAGGTCGGAATTCCAGTTGAAACCAGTAGGCAACTGGTACCAGTTAAAACCAGTAGCCAACTGGTACCAGTTGAAACCAGTACATTCAACTGGTTTTTAATATGGAAATTGAAACAACGCTAACTCGGACCAGTTGATTTACCAGTTGATTTACCAGTTGATATACCAGTTGATTTTCCAGTTGAATTACCAGTTGATGTACCAGTTGATTTACCAGTTGAATTACCAGTTGATTTACCAGCATCTGGCCACCAACTTGACCATATATACAAACTCTTGCAATTACCCAATCACAATAGTCATTTGAAGTAGATTACAGATGTGTTTTATGTAAAGTAGACATTTGTAGCTCGTGCATACATATATACACAATTATACACTTTGTTTCCTGGTAAGTAATTACATATATCAATATATCTAATTTTACGTCTTAAATTAGATGAAAAACATGATCAGACATAAATAATATATTTGTCAATGATTGACTGAGAAAACATAAATCACAAAATTGATGTGCATTGTCACATTTGCTTGACAGATCATGATAATTATTTTTTCTGTGAAAACATGCAAATTAATCATGAATATGCTTAAGATACATTGAACTGGTATTCTACTAGTTTTTTCAACTGGTAATCATCTACTGGTTTTCAACTGGTAAATCAACTGGTAATCATCTACTGGTTAACAACTGGTAATCATCTACTAGTTATCAACTCGTAAATCAACTGGTAATCATCTACTGGTTTTCAACTGGTAAAGCAACTGGTAATCATCTACTGGTTTTCAACTAGTAAATCAACTAGTAATCATCTACTGGTTTTCAACTGGTAAATCAACTAGTAATCATCTACTGGTTTTAAACTGGTAAAGCAACTGGTAATCATCTACTGGTTTTCAACTGGTAAATCAACTGTTAATCATCTACTGGTTTTCAACTGGTAAAGCAACTGGTGATCATCTACTGGTTTTCAACTGGTAAATCAGCTGGTAATAACCTACTGGTTTTCAACTGGTAAAGCAACTGGTGATCATCTACTGGTTTTTAACTGGTAAATCAACTGGTAATCATCTACTGGTTTTCAACTGGTAAATCAACTGGTAATCATCTACTGGTTTTCAACCGCGTTGGATTAAGAGTCAAGTGAACGAACCAGTAAACCACGACAATGACCTTAAAGACAATAAGATGATATATTTCCGATGTAATTGTTTCAATGTAATATTACAACGTATAATACACAGGTGTACATAGAAGCATCTACAAAGTTCAACACGATTGGAAACACTCTCTAGAAATCAACTTATTGGCAGTTTCAATAGCCTACTGTACTGTATTCTGTAAAGCTATTGAAAGTAGAGTACGGGTAATGGAAATATATTTACAACAAAACTGGTCATTTATGGTCATAAAATGTTTATTGGACTCTAAGATGTCAATTGTAAGCAATAAGTTTCTGTTACTTGGCCCATTTGGAAGAATTCAGGTGTTAAAACAACCCTCATCTTATACCGCTATTCGAGGCACATTTCAGCAGGCATGCCAGATGACACACGCGGTAAACTATCATGATTATATCGCCTTCTTAAAGATAAAGTTGAGTTCTGATCATGCGATTGCAATGCGAAAGAAACGGTGTGGAATCGATCAGAAAAGTTTGATCATCTAGCATATAAGTATTGGTGTGTACTGCAAGGTTCTGAATTCATCAAAATGATAATAAATTTGGCCCTGTCTTGGTAAAGTTACAATCACTTTTAACAGTAAGATGTATATGGGACTACACGAACATGTGACATAAAAATCCGTCCCATGCTAATAACAATGATAACGCTCACAAATTATATGTTCACCTCTTCCCAGAACTCAACCTTCTCTTTCAGGGTGATCTTTGAAAGTTTTCCGATCGTGTTAAAATAGTAAAACATGTTTACAAATGTACTTACTGGCCATTTTGATTTGCGATGGTCTATCCCTTGCAACCGAATCGACGCTATGAATACACGACTTTAACTAGTTTTGCTGAGCTGAATGAAACCCTGTGATGTTGGATTGGAATAATTTATATGGCTCATTTGCATAACAATTATACACATCATGGATATTTTTAGATCTCAGGTGAATTCTTAAGTCAGTGGAAAATTCTAAACTTCATTGTAGCAATATTTTGTGGTTCATGAAGGGCATACGGATTTGATGACGTAGCGTCAAGCCATCCAGCGAAATACAACACTTAACCTAAAAGATACCAGCACCTTTTTTGTAATATCTCTGTTGACATTAGCTCAGGTCTATTCGGTTGAACTAACGCTTTTTTATGTTTATTATATTTATACATGTCTATATGTATGATCTTGCCCCGGCCCCCCCCACTCAGAGGTCGGAATGACCGCATGCGTGTTGCCAAAATGTCCGGTAAAGGGGTACTTTTCGTACGACAAAGTCCGGCCCGAGAATTGTAAAAAAAGGGGTGTATTTGACTTTTCACCCGGAGATTTCTTGAAAAAGGGGGGGGGGGTTTTTCTTTTTTTCTCTCATCTCTTTGGACTCCTGAGAAGTTATTCCGAATTTAGGGGGGTACATTGAGCATTTTTCCTGATTTAGGGGGGTCTCCAAGGCAGGAAAAGCCCGCGAAAAGCCCGAGAAAGGGGGGTTCGGAAATGTTGGCAGTCCTCAGATAGGGGGTGCTTTCAAAAAGAGGGTACGAGCATATGCGTACCCTAAATAACACTGAGTGGGGGGGCCGGGGATCTTGCTCTATGGAAGCCGTCGAACACTACGTGTAGAGAATATTAGAAGTGTAATGGAAAGGACTCGGATAGGAATATTGTCACGAAAGCACTACATGTATGTGCATGTATTCATCCATTCACTTTTAAGGGCATAAATCATGAATCATAAATCATACATAATACATCATACACCTTTGCTGGAATCGAAATGAACAATGTATAAATCAACATCGTAAATGTTATCGTACGATAATGAAAATCTATATATGAAGGTACTCCATTTTGCTCCTCTAGTAAAAGAGTAAGGATATGAAATACATAGATTGATGTTTTCTTTTTGGAAAATCTGGTTTATTATATTCAAATGTGTATCCCTGTATATTAATGATTGAAACATATTTGTCAATATACAGTTGTTGCTATCATTGTAAGAACAGCTCAAATTTCATTGTTCATGTAAATATATAAATAAGTTGAAAATATTATTCTGCTAGTTTCTTGTTCTAGATACATATTTCATACAATACATGTATTGTAAATTAAAACCAAACATTACACATCGTGTCACAGGAAATTTATCTGACTCACTTCGACTTGGCTATGATATCCTGATGAAAGTACTGACAGACAAAACGAAAATAGAATTGAAAATATTCTTGACCGATTCCTTTGGAATTACGAACAAAGGCGTAGCACGGTAGCTCAGGTAAAACAATTGTGTGTGTGTGTGTGGGGGGGGGGGGGGGGAGCTGGCATTATGGTGTTGGGGGCCTCCGGACTTACTAGGTTACTAACAATGCTAATCAACAAGGGGATCGCCATTTGATGCGGAGGGGTAGAATTAGCTCATATCATCTTCTTATAAATATAAAGTAGTGTTTCCTTTCTCCATTTCTTTCTATAGCTATTTTTCTTTTTTCGCCATTTTAAAATCGAACGGATGGGCACGCGCCTCCGTGCTCCCGTATAGCTACATCCCTGGCAATGGCCTCATTCTATCGCGATAAGATAAACATGTCCGTAGATTCTATTCATTTAACACCATTATTGTCCGACATGCAGGTCCACGGTTCGAATCCCTGGTCCAAATCATCACCAGTTCATCTTTCTCACAGCTTCAATGATAAATTACTGTTATATCCCTAGACCTAAAACATAATATATGCCCAACAATATGGATAAGACGATACCGCACACTATTCCAGCTACTGCCCAGCCCAACGCATGCTGTGAGGTGGAACGAGCGCCATCGTCATCGCCAGCCATTTGTTTGTCCTTGGCCTGTGAAGATAGGGAAAAAAATAGAAAAAATTTGACAGACATCACTTTAAATTGAAAAATTACTGCCGGGAGGATTAAGAATTAATCGAAATTGGAGAAATAATTTGGTACCATTACAAAGAGGAGGGGGTGGGCGATGTGAGGGGAAAAACATAAAAAATGTACTTTCATAGCTTTCCAAGGTATGAAGTAATCCTGAATTAAAACTGACGAATTGCTTCGTTTAATTTCGTCCCGTAACACAAGTCGATGTCTGGCAGAAATTCGTGACGTTATTTTGGAGACATTCTTGGAGAGAATAAATTGCATCGCCAAATTTCCAACAATTATAATGTCATATTTCGGCCCCGATTCTGATGTTGGAATTGTATTCCTTCATCGGGTTATTATCAACATGATTGCGAAACCTTTCAAAAAATGAACATGAGCAATTCTCAACTGTCACAGATTAAAATCTGCTAATTTTCACCAATTATCACATAAACAGTATTTTATTTTGTATTATTACGATTTCGTTGTGTTATGAAGATTTTCACTTTTGCCGGATATAAATTAGCACGTACGTCTTTTTGTTTTATCTTTTGATCTTTTGATAACTCTGTAATGTCAAAAGACTGAGTTAGGATTGAATGAAGAAAATGTCATACAAACATACATTGTAATCGCCCTGTTTTGGTTAGCGACATCATCACGTTACTTCTCGTCGAGAGTGGTGTGATTTGTATTTCTGCCTTTGTTTGGTTGAGATTTAATATTTTTATTAACTTATAACTTATTTCTTTCTCGTTCTGTCTCAGTTCAATACACTTCATGGCCAGAATTCAAAAAGGAGGTTTGTCGACAAACCTAGGTTTATGTGCATCATGGGACGCGTTTCAAACCATGACGCGTTTTGAAACGCGTCGAAACGCGTCATAATGACGCACATAAACCTTGGTTTGTCGACAATACTCCTTTGTGAAATCGGGCCTTTAACTTTGAATTTGAATGCTTACCCTTGATGCCATGAAGACAGCGACAAGACCAAAGGGTATACAACAGCATAAAGTGACTGCCCAAGCCATGCGGGAATAGTCCGGTACTTGCTGTCTGGGCGCTCCCGAAAATGCTTTCGTGGATCGAGGAGCAGTCTGATATTGATAAACAAAAAAAAAAGCATCAAGAGTCAAATGGATCTTATTGCTTCCAATGAGGTCACAAATATTTAAAGAGCAATTATGACCATACAGCAGTACAGCTAAAATGCGGGAAGGCCACTTCCTTTTGAGCGACCCCTTATTCGAATAATCTCTAGATGTCTTCCTTTGATTTGTGATTTTCTTTTCATTACCTTTCTTATAACGTTGTCTTCGTTCTTCATCAGACGTCTTCGGCTTTGTTTATGTTCCAACTCCCTCTCATTCTTCTTAAATTCATTTAACAAGTCGATAATATTTTCATCTTTTGAAAGGATCTCATTCATTTTGATTATTCTACTTACACGAACCACTGTAGTTTGTGGTTGTGGCTGAGCTTGGATGTGATTGGTTGGTTGTAAGTAAGCGGGCGGGCCTTAGTTGATTCTGATATCTTAATTAAAAAAATGTATTGTATTCTGCATATTATAAGCTTTCCATCGATATTATAATGAAACTATTATTGGGTATTCTACTTTAAAGTTTTGCAATGAATGACGATGAACTAGGCATCATGGATATCACATAATAAAAGCTTATGGGTCTAACTTAGTTGAATATTTGACAAAAATAGTGACTAGAGAGCACAAATACCGCAGTAATGTGGATAATTGTACTGTGATGAGCCATTAGCATGCAATGTATGCTTCTATTTGTCAGATCTCTAAAATTAAGTAAACTGTTGCACTGAGAACAACTTCTAATTCCAATGACCATGAGGATAATGTAAGGTACAGGTTGTACCCCTAATAGTCCTACCAACAGCTCTTGTGTTAGTACGGATACCCATAAGGGCCATTTTTCGGAATATTTTTATTTTAGGTTTTTTCAGAATAATTAAAGTGACATGATATTTGTCTAGTGCATAATGAAATAACATCATCTGCTGAGGTGATAAATTGAGCATAAAATTAATTACATACTGGATTGCGTGGGTGTGCGTGTGTGGGGGATTTGTTTCAGATGTGTGATGTACCTGTAGTATATGGGTATTTTAGTTGATACAAAATGTACAGCAGATCACTTTTCCTACTCCTTTAGTGCCACAACAGCTTATACAAGCTGACAAATATGATAAAATATATGTGAAAATCCTCGAAATAGCGGCCATATTGGATTTATGCAAATTAGGGACACTTCCACTACTTGGATTTTTTTGGACTTTTAGTATGTCATTTTGGGGACCTTACTAAAAAGCATTGCAGTGAAAAATATTTTATTGCAATTTGTTTGACGTTTACCTAAAAATAGACACAATATTCCTAGCCTAAATGACAAGGCCAATTGCATTCATGAAAGTGGCTGTATAAATATGATTCATTCCTCTGCAAATATCCGATTCTTACACCTTTCTCTTGTAGCTTCGTAAAGCATTGCCTTCAAGACAAATATTCTGACGTCTCTAGGTTGTGTTCTTACGGTGACATTTTCCTTGGTGCTGTGTAGTATGATCAGAATTGGCGATTTTCGTATTCCGATAGTTTTTCGAACTTTCGTTTCTCCAGACGTTCATTCTCCAAAAGATTTGCATTTCCGAAGGTTAATTATTCGTAAATCAAAATTGTCTTATTACATTATTTGTTGGAACTTTTTTGTTTCTCCGGAATCTAATGTTTCCCGAAAGATTTGGTATTACCATGGACCTACTACGTATTACGAAGGTTAATAATTTTAAATCAAATATTTCCTAATACCAACGGTATATAACAGTGTTATTTAGGGTACGCACATGCGTGTTCCAAGCGACCCCCCCCCTTTTCAGCAAAAGTCCGGTGTGTAAAGTAAATACGGGTCGACTGTTTTTCTTTTGTTATACGAGCCTTTTTCAGCACCCCCCCCCCTTTTCAGCAAAAGTCCGGTGCGTAAAGTCAATACGGGTCGGCCTTTTTCTTTTCTTACGAAAAGGACATTTTGGTAACACGCATGGGGTCCGTCCGTTCTCGGAGTGGGGGGGGGGGGGGCGGGTGCGTGACCATGAAAAGGCGTATAAATGGGTGCTTTTAAAAAAGATTGGACACGGTCCGTGCGGTGCCGCATTAAGGGATTAAAAAACGTATATTTTGGGCCATTTTCAAGAAAGAGGATACTTTTTCAAAATCCTGCTGTAAGCGCCGGTGTACGCGTTTAGGGGTATTTTTCTAGCCCTCGGGGCCAGACCTGGAGGGTCCTGCGCCTGCGCCCGTCGTCTAGCTAGTTATAGCAAAGATGATAGACGTGCGGCGCTCTATCATCTTTGGTTATTATAGCGAATTTTCGCTCAGCGACGGACAGACCTTTATTGCAGGAGCACTCAGGGTAACGGCCGTCGCACACAGACCGCCCTTGTTACAATACGCGGTTTCGCTTTTCGGTGAACGCGTACGTATAGTACGGAAGTATTGCAATGCAATGCCAATAGGCAATTTTGGTAATGTTACCACATTTAATGCATACGTATTTGTGAAGTGCCTCGATACAAACTATTTCATTCACCTGATAAGAATAATAGTATAGTATTAATGACTGCTTTGAGAGAAATAGTTGTTTTTATACGCTCAAGGGAAGGTTACAATTGTGCTATTACCCGAGGCGTGCCGAGGGCAATAGCCCAATTGTAACCTTCCGAGAGCGTATAAAAACAACTATTTCTCGAATATTAAAGCAGTCATTAATACTTTTATATGCCGAAAAAAAGTCAACTTATGACACCACCTTGGCCTTTCTCTAGTTTATCTGCACTGTTGTTTTTTATGAGTGTATCTTTGAGAGTATAGACTAGATCTAGATTTTAGTCTAAGCAAGATATTTTTACAATTTTGGGGGTGGGCCGGCCCTGTGGGGAATATGGAGAAAAAACCTGCGCTTTCACATGACACCTCGCTTATTGAGTATTACCTTCAGGATCACAACAGATAAAGGTTTGAATCTCGAATTGAAAAAAAAAACTTGACTTTTTTTTGCATGGTCGCGCAATGCACGTAGACTGCATAGAGACTGCATTGCGTGCAATCTCTATGGGAAGAATTTTAGCACACAACATCGGGTGCGCGATCACACACCCTAGACTACTAGATATAATTTTCCTCTACGTCTATATGCTGGTACTCGTCAAAAGCATTTTCAGCAACTAAACGAACATTTTTATGGATAATTTCATGTACCCTTTTTGTTGTTCTTGCTGTCAGCGAGTCTTGCATTTGATAAGTTGAAATCTTGGGAGAGTTTCTTCAGCCATTTTTGTCTTGTTTGGAATAGTCTTGTCTTGTATGAAAATACCGACCAATTCTTCGCACACGTACGGTATCCTCGATCGCTCAAACCATTTTTTAACATGTGTACCTATGGGAATTTCACCAAGACTGAACTATTTTCCCAGTACCCATGGTAACTGGGATTTTAGAACTATTTTTTAGAACTATTACATGGGTTTGGAATTTTACCGGGAATTTTACAGGAATAGTTAAAGTTTATGAATGCAATTTCGACCAATCAGATGGCTGGATTTCTTAAGTGAGGTATATAATATTTCATTAGTAGATACATTAGTTGTTGCCAGGTTTGACAAACATTAGGGAGTTTCGCAAGCTCATCGCGGACGGAGAATCTGCGGTTCGTGTGCAAAATCGAGAAGCTACCATAGTAACAGCGGGATGATCGCTGAGGTACTGAAATCCAGAACGTTTTTTTTTTTTCAATCCTGTGTGGACGACGGCCGCGCGAGGTTAAGGGTGTAAATTCGGGAAAAAACAATTCCTCATTTAGGGTGCATTTTGGCATCAGAAGAAATCCTCGTTTAGAGGGTGTGTGGAAAACCTTTGGTCACGCATGCTTACAGTTTTTCTATGATGACTGAGACCCCATGGGCGTGGTATAGTGGTTTATTCACTTGACTCTCAATCCAAGAGTTGAGGGTTCGGATCCCAGCCCAGCAATAACTTCCTTTAACAAGACATTAATCCACATTTGCCACCATCACCCCGGTTGTTAATTGGTAATAGGCAATTGCTGGGATAATAATAATTACAGGGCATTCTTATCTAGATCTCTTATTTTCCTTTTTCCTATTTCCTAGTCTCCCATTTCTCCTACTCTGTTCTCATAATACAATTTCTAAATTTGACACATTGTTCGTAACTATATACATCCTCTGTTGGTGCTTCGTGTTTAAAGGGACTTGGTAGTTGGTAACATTGTTCAGATGAGAGAAATGGTGCTATAAGGTAATGACTTCAATGCTAGATGTACAATAATAATAATAATAATGATGATAATAAATGAAAGATAATCTGAAAGTTTGAGCGAAAACAGACCATTATTAACGACAAAAATTGGGAAAAACTGATTTGATAAATTTCTTGATTCTCCCAAATATATTTTTACAATTTAATTACATTTGAGGTGAATGCAAAATTGGCTCTTATACTATTTCAGACAAAAATGGTTGGGAGAATTCAATGTTATTCACTGTTGAGAGGGTGTTGCACAGTGACGCCTTCAAAGAAAACCATAAATATCTTTGTGGTTTGAAATTTTTCTCAGGATTGTTTTCTTATTAGAGGTTAAGTACAGTAGGAGGAATATAATAAGTAACATTTCATACAAAAATTACACATCTTTTTTTATCAACCTTCAACAATATTACCGAGTCACTTTAAAAGGTATCAAATTCCAAAGAAATTGATTTGATTGAACTAAACTTAAATCATTAACTGCGATGATTTTAAACAAGACACTTTCATATCCACCGTGACCTGATTTTTAAAATTCTCTTTATTGTAAAAAAAAACATATACAGTGTACAAAAATTATCATATTGATATAAACATACATCATAAATAAACTACAACCATTGTCAAATCGAAGAGATAATTTATTATTTTGTTTGATCTAAATACTTCCCGGCATTATGAAGTATAACACATGAGATATCTAGGGTATATACAACATTATGTAAGGAATGACCTATGCGAAAGTAACCGGAGTGTTTACGCACCTTTGCCGGAATCGAAATTAACAATGTATGGAAGTACTCCATTTGGCTCCTCCAGTAAAAGAGTAAGGATATGAAATACAAAGAATGATTTTTTCTTTTTGGAAAATCTGGTTCTACTTATACTACTATATTTAAATGTGTATCCCTGTATTGACGATTGAAACATATTAATGTCGATATACAATCGTTGTTATCATTGTTAGACTAGCTGAAGTTTCATTGTTCAGGTAAATATATAAATAAGTTGAAAATATTATTCTGCTAGTTTCTTGTTCCCGAAACATATTGCATACAATACATTTATTGTAGTTTAAAACCAAACATTACACCTTTGTCATTACACCTTTGTCATTATTAAAAGAGGCGTAGCACGGTAGCTCAGGTAAAGATAACTATGTGTGTGTGGGGGTGGGGTGGGGGGGGGCATTGGCACGATGGATGGGGGCCTTCGGACTCACGAGGTTACTGGAACAATGCAAACCAACAAGGCGACCGCCATTGGATGCGGAGGTGTGGAATTGGCTCCTCTCATCTTCTTGTCACGTCATGTTTCCTCCCTCCAGTTCTCTCTCTAGTTATTTTTTTTCTCGCCATTTTAATATCGAAAGGATGGACACGTGCCTCCGTGCTCCCGTATAGCTACATCCCAGGTTATGACCGCATTCTATCGCTACAAGACAAACATGTCCGTAGATTCTATTCATTTAACACCATTACTGTCCGACATGCAGGTCCACGGTTCGAATCCCCAGGCCAAACCATCACAAGTTCATCTTTCTCACAACTTCAATGACAAATTACTGTTATACCCCTAGACTCTAGTTATTTGTCTTTTTTCGCCATTTTAAAATCGACAGGATGGGCACGTGCCTCCGTGCTCCCGTAAAGCTACATCCCTGGTTATGACCGATTCTATCGCTACAAGACAAACATGTCCGTAGATTCTATTCATTTAACACCATTATTGTCCGACATGCAGGTCCACGGTTCGAATCCCTGGTCCAAATCATCACCAGTTCATCTTTCTCACAGCTTCAATGATAAATTACTGTTATACCCCTAGACCTGAAAAATAATATATGCCCAACAATATGGATAAGACGATACCGCACACTATTCCAGCTACTGCCCAGCCCAACGCACACTGGGAGGTAGAACGAGCGCCATCATCATCGCCATACATTTGTTTGTCCTTGGCCTGTGAAGATAGGGAAAAAAATAGAAAAAATTTGACAGACATCACTTTAAATTGAAAAATTACTGCCGGGAGGATTAAGAATTAATCGAAATTGGAGAAATAATTTGGTACCATTACAAAGGGGAGGGGGTGGGTGATGTGAGGGGAAAAACATAAAAAATGTACTTTCATAGCCTTCCAAGGTACGAAGTAATCCTGAATTAAGACTGACGAATTGCTTCGTTTAATTTCGTCCCGTAACACAAGTCGATGTCTGGCAGAAATTCGTGACGTCGTTCTGGAAACATTCTCAGAGAGAATAAATTGCATCGCCAAATTTCCAACAATCATAATGTCATATTTCGGCCCCGATTCTGATGTTGGAATTGTATTCCTTCATCGGGTTTTTATCAACATGATTGCGAAACCTTTCAAAAAATGAACATGAGCAATTCTCAACTGTCATAATTTAAAACCTGCTAATTTTCACCAATTATCACATAGACAGTATTTTATTTTGTATTATTACGATTTCGATGTCTTATGAAGATTTTTAATTTTGCTGGATATAAATTAGCATGTACGTCTTTTCATTTTATCTTTTGATCTTTTGATAACTCTGTAATGTCAAAAGATTGAGTTAGGATTGAATGAAGAAAATGTCATACAAACATACATTGTAATCGCCCTGTTTTGGTTAGCAACATCATCACGTTACTTCTCGTCGAGAGTGGTGTGATTTGTATTTCTGCCTTTGTTTGGTTGAGATTTAATACTTTTATTAACTTAAAACTTATTTCTTTCTCGTTCTGTCTCAGTTCAATACACTGTATAGCCAGAATTCAAAAAGGAGGTTTGTCTAACCTAGGTTTATGTGCATCATGGGACGCGTTTCAAACCATGACGCTTTTTGAAACGCGTCGAAACGCGTCATAATGACGCACATAAACCTAGGTTTGTCGACAATGCTCCTTTGTGAAATCGGGCCTTTAACTTTGAATTTGAATGCTTACCCTTGATGCCATGAAGACAGCGACAAGACCAAAGGGTAGACAACAGCATAAAGTGACTGCCCAAGCCATGCGGGAATAGTCCGGTACTTGCTGTCTGGGCGCTCCCGAAAATGCATTCGTGGATCGAGGAGCAGTCTGATATTGATAAACAAAAAAAAGCATCAAGAGTCAAATGGATCTTATTGCTACCAATGAGGTCACAAATATTTAAAGAGCAATTATGACCATACAGCAGTACAGCTAAAATGCGGGGAGGCCACTTCCTTTTGAGCGACCCCTTATTCGAATAATCTCTAGATTTCTTCCTTTGATTTGTGATTTTCTTTTCATTACCTTTCTTATAACGTTGTCTTCGTTCTTCATCAGACGTCTTCGGCTTTGTTTATGTTCCAACTCCCTCTCATTCTTCTTAAATTCATTTAACAAGTCGATAATATTTTCATCTTTTGAAAGGATCTCATTCATTTTGATTATTCTACTTACACGAACCACTGTAGTTTGTGGTTGTGGCTGAGCTTGGATGTGATTGGTTGGTTGTAAGTAAGCGGGCGGGGCTCCAGATGATACGTCATTCTGTTGTGGCAGGTATCCAGGCTGTACCGAGTGGCCCTTTGGCGGTTGGAACATCGCTAGCTGTGACCCCATCCTCACATCGTCCGTGCCGAGGTGCTGCTTTTCTGTTTCAGATATTGAGATCTCCGTGGCTAAACAGATAAAAATACATTTATTATCGTCTATATTAACAGGAATAATAAATTGGGTATTAATTTGCAACCTTTTCAATAATTTGATTGATTAGGAAAAAAATAGTTATGAAAAGCTGATAAATCTGTCGTATATCTTTTCAATATTGTCCATCTAACTTTTTCAATAAATTTGCAATGGTTAGGAGAAGTTACAAAAATCTTAATCTAGTTCGACACTTTACTATAATTGTGAATAAGAAAACATATGCGGTACATATCTTCGATAAATATAGCCTCTGGATATATTCTTTTCTTCTTTTCTCTTTTTATTTCTGTCATTTATACAAGGAAGTGCATTTTCAACAATAATGGTGATCTTCCATGAGACCCCGTTTGTTAACAACAAAATATAGTGACATAGTCATATAGTCAATATAAAATTTGTATTTTAATCCAATGACGGATCACATTTACCATGCTTTTTACACCGTAAAATATTATCGTGTCGATAATTGAAATTCAAAAAGAAGAACGCAAATCTATTCAACACTGTCGCAAATTTTTTCGAAAACTCACCTCTATAGGCAATTTCAATAAGCTATAGTTGAAAGTGATATGATTATACTTACAAGTCATTTTGTTGAATTATGTCGATTTAGGTAACTTAAGTCGTGAGGCAATGGTTTTTATTACAGCTGTTTAGAACGCTCTAAAACTTGAAACGTTGTGGCTTAACTTTCCTCGAGTGAATGAAACGAGTTCATATCACATCTTCATTTATAAGAACTTGACAAATAAAAAATAAAAAACGCCCCGCCCACCACTCACGTAACGGAAAAGTGTTCGCGCTTTTCTTTGTACTACGGATTTGTGCCTACACTCTCTTACAAATTAGGTTATACCCTCCTATAAGTTCGAGAATTTTCCCTTTTCTACAAGGAACCGGATTTTAGAGTAATGCCGGTAAGAAGAGAAATTGCAACCAGGCCCGGTACTTTATTTTCTATATTTCCATATTTGGCAGTCCGATAACAACCAGTCAATGGACTCATCCGAAATGTCCACTATAAGCAATCATATTCCATGGTTTTATGTCTGTATATAATATATTGTTATTAAATTTTAAGTTTTTTAAATCTCAAGCTTAGGGATTAATATAACTACGAGGAGCGAGAAAGTACACTACAAGCCTACTGTATACACTAAAATATTATTGTAGAGAACAGTGATTTGTGGGGGAAAAGTAAGAATTTACCACGACATGGTAGACGGCTGTTTTTTTTGCTGCTACTACTACTACAACTACTGCTGGTTTCTGCTACTACTACTACTACTGATACTACTACTGCTACTACTACTACTGCGTAAACTACTACTACTACTACTACTACTACTACTACTACTACTACTACTGTTTATACTACTACTACTACTACTACTACTACTACTACTACTACTACTACTACTACTACTACTATTACTACTATTACTACTATTACTACTATTACTACTACTACTACTACAACTACAACTACTACAACTACTACTACAGTGATTTGTGGGGGAAGAGTAAGAATTTACCACGACATGGTAGACGGCTGTTTTTTTTGCTGCTACTACTACTACAACTACTGCTGGTTTCTGCTACTACTACTACTACTGATACTACTACTGCTACTACTACTACTGCGTAAACTACTACTACTACTACTACTACTACTACTACTACTACTGTTTATACTACTACTACTACTACTACTACTACTACTACTACTACTATTACTACTATTACTACTATTACTACTACTACTACAACTAATACTACTACTACTGCTACTACTACTACTGCGTAAACTACTACTACTACTACTACTACTACTACTACTACTACTACTACTGTTTATACTACTACTACTACTACTACTACTACTACTACTACTACTATTACTACTATTACTACTATTACTACTACTACTACTACAACTAATACTACTACTACTACTGCTACTACTACTACTTATACTACTACTACTACTACTATTACTACTATTACTACTATTACTACTACTACTACTACTACTACAACAACTACTACTACTACTACTACTACTACAACTACTACTAATACTACTACTACTACTACAACTACTACTACTACTACTACTACTACCACTACTACTACTTATACTACTACTACTACTACTACTATTACTACTATTACTACTATTACTACTACTACAATTACTACAACTACTACTACTACCACCACTACTTCTACTATATGAACTACTACTCCTACTACTGCTTATGCTACTACTACTACTACTACGACTACTAGAACTTCTTATTCATGAATTTAATGAAACTTATGAATTGATACATTTGAAATTTCTGATGCTCTTTATATCAAAGGAAATGAAAGGAAATATACATGTATCCGCTGAGCTGTTTGACCTTGCCATTACAATTCGCTTGCGGACAAGGAAAAGGAATTTAAGCGGAAATCTGAGTATACGAAAGCCGGATACTTGTCATAAAAATTATTGGTTTAAGGTTCACATGTCTGACGATGGTTTACTACGCCGATGACAGGGTCGAAGACCGCAGCGCATTTGCTAATGAGGCTTACCATTTTCTGTATGAATAAAAATGAATAGATAGACACGAATTATCACGAGCTGCGGATTGACTGAAAAGAAGGGGGCAGTGGCGTCGTATCCATATGGGTTGAACAATAAATCAGATTATTCCCATGACCAGTCTTTATTATTTCTTATTTTTTTAATGAAGACCTGTCCAATTTGTAATTGTTTTTTTGTATGTTTCGTTTTGCCCTTGTTTTTGTTTGTGGGTTGATGTTCGGTGTTTGATGGAAAATGAAATTCGGTGCCCGCTTCTCCCCCCCCCCCCCCTAACCCCCTTGCGCCATTCAGATGCCATTTTTCTTGCCGACTGATGTTTGCGAATCCATCACAATGTTTAATCCATGAATATTATATCCATGTTTAAACCTTAGTTTCTTACTCCTCAGTCACACCGCCACATCGACTTCTCACCGACTCCAAGCCGACCATTACTTGGCCAATCAAAGAAAGGTAATTGTTGTACGGTCTACAGTCGGTCTCGTGTTAGCCTTTGACAAGGCCTCGTGTCTAATAGACGCCGAGTGACTAAAAAGAGACTAATCGCGAAAACCCGAGTGAACGCCAGAGCGAATGGTCCAGCCTTTAGACAAGGCCTCATGTCTGATATACGCCGAGTGACTAAAAAGAGACTAATCGCGAAAACCCGAGTGAACGCCAGAGCAAGTGGTCCAGCCTTTAGACAAGGCCTCATGTCTGATATACGCCGAGTGACTAAAAAGAGACTAATCGCGAAAACCCGAGTGTACGCAAGAGCAAGTGGCCCAGCCTTTAGACAAGGCCTCATGTCTGAAAGACGCCGAGCGACTAAAAGAGACTAATCGCGAAAACCCAAGTGAACGCTAGAGCGAGTGGCCCAGGTTTGGATTTCTTATGTTAACCCTTGTTTCCGACTGGAATTTTCTACCGAAATGGTAGCGTCCAATCACCGAACTTATCATCGCGTGACGTCGGCATATATTATCCATCACGTCAACAGTAAACTCTACGTAGTACGAATACCCATGACATTGAACGAAACAAGTTGGACTGGTTCATTTTATATACAGGGAAAGTCCAATCATCTCACTTACAATTGTTAGCTCAAGTTATCAAATGCTTCTTATTTTATTGTAATTCTGCATGTAAAATAGATTTGGATGTGATGTTTTGTATTTATCATTTCTATGTTCATCTCATAAGCAAAAACTAGTTTACGTCTTGTACCCTTTCTTACATGTTTTGATAATGAACGAATCCCGAACGAAATCAATTGGGAGATGGCCATTCTGATTGGTCAATAAATACAAGTAAAAGTCAAAATCCAAAAGGCCTCGTGCAAAAAAGCCACTCGATCGCGCGTTCACCCCGGGTCTCTAGACTCATCTCAGCCGCTGATTGGGGTGGAAAATAGCCAGAGTCACGAGGCCTTGTCAAAAGGCTAGTCTCGTGTCGGTTTCACTGATGTGACTGAGGTAGGATACGTTAATAGGTTGCCAATTTCGACTTGACTGGGAGATAGAATTGACGTGATATCCCAAGAAGAGAATCGACGGACCTATTGATATCCGCATGCACAACGTACGTCGCTGGCAATTAGTTTGACAAGCTCCTATATTTACCCATCTGTCAAATGACAAGGCCAAGTGGTTGCATAAATATGATACATCCCTCTGCAAATATCCGATTCTTACACCTTTCTCTTGTAGCTTCGTAAAGCATTGCCTTCAAGACAAATATTTTGACATCTCTGGGCTGTGTTCCTACGGTGACATTTTCCTTGGTGCTGTGTAGTATGATCAGAATTGGCGATTTTCGTATTCCGATAGTTTTTCGAACTTTCGTTTCTCCAGACGTTCATTCTCCAAAAGATTTGTATTTCCGAAGGTTAATTATTCGTAAATCAAAATTGTCTTATTACATTATTTGTTGGAACTTTTTTGTTTCTCCGGAATCTAATTTTTCCCGAAAGATTTGGTATTACCATGGACCTACTACGTATTACGAAGGTTAATAATTTAAAATCAAATATTTCCTAATACCAACGGTATCATTGCTCTAGATATTGAATTAAAGTTTATTCCGAACATTTGGTGAGTCAATCCGAAGGTTGGTTACTTCAAACATGCAATAGGGTAACACATTTCGTAGAATCTTTTCTTAAAAGGAAACAGGAAACAGGATCCAAATACAAAAAAGCACAAACAAACATTTTATATATTTTTAATCAAGTGCGGCGCGAGAGCTCATTTTGCCTTATAACAGCGAACGTGATTCACATTTTATTGGAATCAGGCATAATCCACAAAAAACACAGCCCTCGACAGGGCACTGCATGAGTGACAGGTCACTATGTTGAAGCCAATAAACGGTATGATAACTACGAGGGGACATCAGAACTCGTGCAGATAATAACTCGTTTTCGATTTTGTGTCATTGCTGATAGAAAAGACGTTTATACTTTTCCGTCAATATTGGCTTGTGAATTTAACAAATGGCGGCGACAGAAAGCATGGATTTTCTAGCATCTAAAGCTCCAAATTTTTATTCGGATCGTATTAACATCAATGTCTATATCGTAATTTGTGTTCTCGCCGTGATTTTGAATGCCATCGTACTGTTTATAATCCGTCAACAAAAGGAACTCCAGGACAACATGAGAGTCCTCTACCAAGTTCTGGCAACTTCGGACTTGATTTTGGGTATAACCTGGAGCTTGTGGGACTATTCGTGGTTCTCACCTGATAACAGTTATTGTTCTATCACTAGTTTGCTATTTCCATTCACCTATCAGGTCTCGATTTGGTTTATAATGATCTGTCTCTCTGGAATCAGTTTCAATCTCTATCTACTCGTCACAAGACCACTGCGCTATTACACCATTGTCACCAGAAAACGATTTTGCATTACCCTCACATCAGCCCTTGTGACGACCATGCTAGTCTGTGGGATCTTCCTACCGATTCCAGAATCACCATTAATTCAACTTTTAACAAACCGTTGCTTACGTCGAGAAACCAGCGCACAATTAGAATGGGCGTCCATCATTCACAGGTTGTACCTTGTTGTTCCTGTTTGTGCAACTATGGCTTTCACGACAACCATCTACATTCGACTTCTAGCCATCGCGCACCAGAAGGTCAACGCGGTAGGCAATGTCGAGATTCCACGTGCCGTCAATGACATCGATGACGACTTCCTCAAGAATCGTAGTCAACCATCAACGTATCCTCAGATGGTAGTTGGGCGCAATCTCGCTCGCCGACAGGTCCGAAAACGCAGGCGACTCCACATATTCAAAGGTTTCTGGACTATTTTACTCTTGACAGGCTCGTTCAGCATGGTGTGGATACCTTTTGTCGTCAACTTTATCATTCCTAA